AATGACGGCAGGTCACGTCCAGCTTGGATTCTTGATTGAGGACATGCTGCTTCCACCAGGCCTCATCCATGCGGCTGGCATCATACTGATCGACGCAACCTTCCTGCATGATCTCCAAAGCTCGGAGTCTCCCGGCTGCACTTTTCCACCGGAAGCAACATCTTTGAACTTTCCAGTCTTTACCAGTCCGCCTGTTCTTGGAAAAGATGGGACAGAATGGTCTGGCGTTGCCTTGCTGCCCCAAGCCTGCACAAGGTGGCTGCACAAATCCTGGAAGATGCAGACCAGACAGTGCCCCCAGGAATAGGAGCAGCCAGCCTGACCGCTGCAATCTGCATTGGACCATGGCCAATGGAAGCTACCCTCGAAACAGAAAAGTGCGAAGCTTGCTTTGGATTGGTGCCTCTCTTGTTGTTGCTTGCGGAATGGCTATAGGTGTTGCGTGCTCTGACCCATCCATTTACGCTCTGTTTGGCAGTGCATTGAGGCTGGACAGTCTGCGACATCTCAGCCACAAGCAGACACACGATGATGAGCAAAAATAAGCAATGCATTTGCAAACCGTCGGCTGCTAACTACGCTGCTCGTGGTTTGCTGTGACGCTGAATTCTTGATGAATTCCAAGGCCAACAGAATCGTATCATCCTCTGTGTATAATAAATTCTGCTCAACCATAACACCTGCGTCATCTTAGTACTACAACTTTTACCTTTATACAGACTCCCCAGAGGTCTGTGCACGAAGAGGAAGGCCGTGTTGGAAAACTGTTATTTGAAGAAGGTCCTCTATGAGCGCCTGCATCGCAATGCATCACAACCTATCGCGCTGCTCGGTGCGAGAACTTCTCATGCAACCCGGAACACATTCGACGCAAATCATGGCCTGGTACTCAACCCCTACCTGAGGTAGGCGCCCAAACCTGCTCAAAAAAAGAGCCTTGCAAGCTTTTCTTCAAAACTTCACTGAAAAGCTCCAACAAAACTCTTATTCTACAAAACCTCCCAATCCTAAAAAAAAGCCAAAGCAGCCGTGATGCTACACAAATTTTGAAATTTCACATCCCCTGAGGCTGCAGCTGCAGAAGCCTTGGAGCCGCACTGGGGCCCTCAGCTTTTCCCATTTCAGGTCAGGTGCAGAGTTTAAAGTTTAGGGTTTTAGTTTTCAGGTGTAGGGGCTTAGGGTTCCCGGGGTCGGGGTAGGAGGTTTATAGGACTTAGGCTTCTGGGTTTTGGGGTGAGTGGGGAAAGACGGCCGGAGACAGGAACGGCCATCATAGAAGCAAATCAAGTGTGAAGGACAGAAATACTGAGTATGCTAAGCATACAGTACTATTGATGATAAAGGTAAGGACAGAGATGCCAAGAAATGAAACAGCTGCGAGGTATCATTGTTGCTATTTTCTAGAGGGCCCAGGTACCCACATGTACCAAGTACCATTCAGATCGTAGTATTTGGGACCTGAAGCCCGATTCTTTGGGCGCTCGGACCTGCAGGGGAATTCTAGATCCTAAGCCCTGGACCCTAATGTGAAGGGCTGCGGGACCAAGATTCAGTGCTTCGGGTGCTTGGGTGTTGCGGCTCAAGGACTTAGCTCACAAAGGGTTCCAAAGGGGTTGCAAAAGTTTTTAAGATCCATAGAGCTTCTTGTGATATGAAGCAGAATGGATTCCGGTATTGCAGGATATATCAGGCTCACCTGTTGCCATTGTGAGAAGGACTAAGATTGGGCAGGGTTTTATAGCCTAGTTTCAGCAGTGTAGCGCTGGGGTCCTTCTCGGGGGGATCCATTTTCTGCCTTGCGGTTTTGGTTGGAGTTCTAAGGATCTACCTGAACCCTAAAAATAGGCAAACTACAGTAATAGCCCAGAACACATGAACACTGCCAGAAGGCCATTATTCTACATACTTTTTTGGCTCACGTAATTCACTTCGAGACTTCTCGGCTGTTTTGCGGAGGGTTCCGGCGCCGCCAGGCAACACAGGTGTTGTGGGGTTCATGGCAAAGAAGGCTCATAGTCCGTGAAGCACTTGAAGTCCTACTTGACAATTAAGAACTCCAAATCATTGGTCCTTCTGGGTTGTTAGATGTAGCTACTCTAATACGGTTGCATCATAAGTCCCTGGCCTTTTATACATGGGCAATTTCAAGTAAGTTTCGTAACAGCAACCCAGCCTTTCTGCGGTGCCTACTGCTCTTTGGGCCTATGCAGAGGCTTCATTGATGATGCCCCAAATTCCTGGGTCATTTTTGCGACTTTATGCCCAAAGTTTGGAGGGCTCCTGTCAGCTCGCAAAAGGACACTGTCAAAGTGGAACTCTAAGCCCTAAACCCAAATCCCAAAACCCTTTTCTGTCAACTTCTCTCCCAGCTTTCTCCCAGGCTTACTACTTGGGGGTCAAGGGAACTGCGCAAGTTCGTCAATAATGCGGATAGCTGGGGTTACTATATGTCTTGCTTATAGGGTATTATAAGTATACTTACTAAGCCCCTATAACCCTGAACCCTAAACAATAGATTTGGTTTCCATGTCCTTGTCCATTCTTCTTCCCCATAACCCTCCAAACCCTAAACCCTAAACCGTATACATCCTGAAAGTATCAAGAAACCCAACAATACAACAAAGCCCTGGCGCTGAAAGCCGACACCCCAAACATAAACCCCAACCCTGAAGGTAAAAGTGGGCAAGCAAACGGCGGGGTCGAGGGTTTAGGATGTAGGGTTTAGGGTTTAGGGTGTAGGTATGCAACTTGCAGTTTCCTGGGAGCTAACGACATTCTAGCAGTTGGTCACATGGACCCATAGGGCTGGAGTTTAGACTTGAAAACCATAGAACTCGATGCACAAACCCGACAATGCTTTTCAGCACCGGGGTGCTCGAAGAAGCCATAGCCGCTGTTGCTGCCTTCTCGGAAGACCTTCCGTCAACAAGTTGGGTGTTCGGGCTTAGGCTTTGCTTGTGATGTTCGACAGCGCTCTATTTCCGGAATAATTAATGGACATGGCTCCATATCAATAATACAAAAGGCTACACTAAACTACCGCAACATGATCCCTTGGTAACCCTGGTCCTGACAGCAGCTCACATGGGCGGGGTGGCTACCATCAGCGACCCTTTTTTGGGGGGGCCAAATGACCCAAACATAGAAATCTTATCAAGAATGGTTCTTCTCGCGCACTAAGGAACGGCCGTTGGGGAACTGGTGTAGGGATCCTGTAGTTCTGTAAGGAAATATGTAGGGGAAAAATTCTTTCCGTAATGGCTATGTTGAGAACAGGAACCTTGATCAACTAAACCCTAAACTGTAATCTTCCTAGATACCTCCCTACACCCTCAACACTGAACCCTAAACCCTGAACACTAAACCCTAAACCCTGAGCCCTAAACCCTCCCTACAGTCTGATCAACAACCACATCCGGACCTAACGAGCTGGAAGCCTCATACCCACCACTAGAATCGCACAGAGCTAACATCCCTAAGTCCTGCGGTTGATGCTAAAAATCCCACATGACCCTGAGTGCCTCATACAATGAAACTCTGGCATTACAGCACGTCATGTAGGAATTTTCAGACCACCCCTAGACCCTAAACCCTGAACCCCCAAACCCTAGATCCTAAACCCTAAACCCCCACACCCTAGATCGTAAACCCTAAGCCTTCAACTCCCAAACCCTAGATCCTAAACCCTAAACCCAAACTCAAGGGCTGAACCCTGCAGGCCGCCTCCACAGCGGGGCTGACGATGCAGCCGTCTACAGGAACGTGCGCGTGGGGGCCCTGCCCGAGGCTCAAGACTGCAGGGGTTCAGGGTTTGGAACGTGTAGGGATTTAGATTTTTTTTTTTTTTTTTTTT